GAGTTTGCCGTTAACAACTCGGTGCATGCGTCCACGACACATTCACCGTTTTACGTGAATGGCTTGCGCCATCCGCGTGTACCCACCTTACTAGAGTGTAACTCTGGTTTAAGGGGGGGAGGGACTCGCGCGAGAAAAAACCAATTTGGTTCACGCTCATCACGCTCTGACGATGAGGTCATTGCGTTTGATGCCGATATCGACAACATCGATATCGAAGAAGATGATGCCAGTGATAGTGCGGAAGCCCTCACTGAAGAAAAGATTGATGTTGCTGCAGTGCACTCACAGCGCACTGAAGCTAACGAGACATCAGATGAGTTCATACTGGCTCGTGAAACGGTAGTCCGTTTTGTGCAAGACTTCATCGCCGAAGCGGTGGATAAGCAAAAGCAAAACGCAGACAAGAATGGAAGGGCAAACAGTCTTTTATTTAATAAAGGTGACTTAGTCCTACTGTCTACGGTTAATCTACCAAAGCATGTAGTGACTAACTTGGGTAGTAGTAAACTTCTACCCAAGTACATCGGCCCATTTCGTGTATTGCATCGCCTAGTCAACGCATACACGATCGAGTTACCACGTAAGGTGCGAACGCATCCTACGTTTTACGTTGGTCGGCTTAAGCCGTACCATCAGTACGCTGTTTCTTCCGATAAAGAACGCCCTTGCGTTCAAGCATCTCACAGAGGGCCTTGTGCTCCCGATGGTGGATATCAACAATGGTCTAAAGAGCAGTTATCTCAGCCCGAGACCGATCAACATTCCCACGAGCTACCCTTAGCTCGTCACGCAGAGATGTCAAAGCTCTTTAGTTCTCAATCTGAGCAAAGGAAAACTCAGCTCGATGCTTCAAGACAGTGTCCGCCAGTTGGAGATGCCTGTCCCGCTCATGTTCGAGATCGCCGCGTAACCCTTGCGTTACGCGATCAAAAAGCTCTCGGGAACACACGGATCCCCATGATCGTGTGGAGAGCGTCTTCCCTCCTCCTCCACCTCCATTAGAGGACTCTCGCGGTGGCCAGCCCTATCTGATTGAGCGGCTACTGAAACACCGCGATGTGAACGGACGTCGGACGAGTTACCTCGTCCCGTGATACTTGGGAGCCTCGCTCCCAACTGATGATTGACGTACTGGGTCTGGTTGAGCAGTACGACGCGGCACATCCTGTGCCGCAGAAGGATCTCCGGAGAAAGTCTTCCCGGCACGGTCATAAAGGGATTTCAGGTTGTCAATCCCTTCGTACATCTCAGTAGAGATACTTACGCGCCACCACGGGCTAGTAAGGAGGTAAGCCTCCTTAGGTGCACGCGCTGAGTTGTTTACACAACAAGGGCACGGGTCTCCCCAGGAAGGACAGGGTAACCCACCTTCCTTAGACAGACGATGCAGCTTATAGCGCGCACCTGTCGGGGTCCTCTTCTCAAGCTTATCACGAGCTTTGATAAGTTTGTCTTTCCAAACGATACGACCTACATCCTCGAGGTTATGGATGTAAGCGTTCCATGCTTGAAGCAGTGAGGGACCATCACGTTTGTGATTCTCACTGTACCATCGATGCTTTAAGAAAGCATCGATGAAGAACTCATGATCAGTGCGATAGTCTTTCGCACTGGGGTCAAGGTGATGTATCCTTGATGAATCGAACAATCGTGTTCGATAGCGATCACTTGTCGTCACCGACAAGCGATCCATGACTGACTTTGGAGGCAGCCATGCTTCTTTTCGGGAGCGAGACGCAACACGTTGCAGTCCCGCTCTTCTTGCGACGTGCCGACAGCAGTACTGGTACCTCGCTGCGAAGTGGTGTCAATAGGAGAACCGACACCACTGTGAGCGCCCGAGTCTTGCGGTCTCGAGCGCCTTCGCTTTGACGATGGTTCATCTGATTGTCAGATGAACCAAAGATGCTACGACGCGTAGCATCATCCATACCACGCTTGGCAGGCGGCTTGGTTTCAACCGCCTTCGATACGGATCCCTCTTCCGTATCAGGAGAGTATGAGACACCGAGCTCATATTCTGTGGAGACATGAGTGTCTTCATGACGAGCACCTGCATCACCAGGTGATACAGACTTAGACGCTATAGCAACCGATGACACATCTCCTGCAGCGGTTTCTGCTTCGGCGTCTGCACAGAGACGTGCGGACGCGCTCTCGGCGGCCTTGCTCGCGCACCACATGGACTTTTTAACCATGCGATGAAACTGATGGACTGTGGACTCGGACCAACAAGTGCACACCCCGTCCCAAATGATTTGAGACGAGTATCCAGTTAGTCAATCAGTCACTAACGTGACTGATGGTTAAGGGGGGGTGATGTAATGGGGTGAACCGTTACAAAACAAATCACAAGAAATTGTTAATAGAATATAACTATGAGAGTAATGTTCTCAGAATATTTTCATGTGGACAAATATTCTGTAGCACTTACGAGTAGTTCCTAAGTGGTTGGTATAGGCCATTATATCAACCAACGAAGACGCGCCACGACAGACGCACGCAATGAGTGGTGAGCATATAGTTGATATGCACATTTGTATTCAGACATAGTTAGATGAGGATAAACAGTGGTTTATTAACAGACGCTAACTATGATAAATACAGTTCTACTTTGTACTTAAACTAAGTACTCGCTTCTTCTTACCGTCTTCTTCTGCACGTACCAGTGTACGGGAGGTTGCGCGGCCTCGCCTCATTCTGTCGTCAGAATAAGTAGCTTGTACTGTCATCAGTACAAGCTTGAGGGTGCCCCGTTACACAGTAGAATTGCTGCGGCGTAATAACTAACGGTTGTGGGTTCGAAATTTCAGGTACTGCAGATCAATAGTTGCCCAGGAAAGCTAAGACGACGTCAAAGATACCATTCTGTTGCCAAGTGCGCTGCTCGACAGCAGCCGTTCGTGCATTACTTGCTGCTCGTATCGCCAGGTTGTATTTCTGACACATCTATCGAAGAGCTTCAAATGTGGCACCGGACGAGATGGCTAATTGGTCAGATTACGACGCTGATTTCGCTAGCTGGCGCGAGTTTTATTAAGATGTGTGCACAAGACGACGACTGCGCTAGATGTGTGTCTTGTGCACGCACATATTTGCCTTTTGTTCTCACGAAGAGTTGCAGTTGCCGCTACTCCATGCGTGATGAAACTTTCGTATGAATAGGCGTGAGAGAACTACAGTTATCCAGTATCTCACTGACAGCGCAAGATAAAATAAATGACACACGGCAACGAAGCTGCCACAATCACTACATTAGTAATTCACCGCTTGTATTTGCCATTGTGTCGTGCGTTCATTTACTGCATCGCTGTCTTGTACTGGACTTTTCTCCGACATCATCGGGAAAGGTAATGCTTACAAAGCTGGCATGATATAACCCATAATGTAGCACCCCTTTTGAAACGGAGATCCCTGAAGCTTGTACTGTCACCAGTACAAGCTGCTTATTCTGACGACAGAATGAGGCGAGGCCGCGCAACCTCCCGTACACTGGTACGTGCAGAAGAAGACGGTAAGAAGAAGCGAGTACTTAGTTTAAGTACAAAGTAGAACTGTATTTATCATAGTTAGCGTCTGTTAATAAACCACTGTTTATCCTCATCTAACTATGTCTGAATACAAATGTGCATATCAACTATCTGCTCACCACTCATTGCGTGCGTCTGTCGTGGCGCGTCTTCGTTGGTTGATATAATGGCCTATACCAACCACTTAGGAACTACTCGTAAGTGCTACAGAATATTTGTCCTTATGACAATATTCTGAGAATACAACTCTTATAGTTAAATTCTATTAACAATTTCTTGTGATTTGTTTTGTAACGGTTCACCCCATTACATCACCCCCCCTTAACCATCAGTCACGTTAGTGACTGATTGACTAACTGGATACTCGTCCCAAATCATTTGGGACGGGGTGTGCACTTGTTGGTCCGAGTCCACAGTCCATCAGTTTCATCGCATGGTTAAAAAGTCCATGTGGTGCGCGAGCAAGGCCGCCGAGAGCGCGTCCGCACGTCTCTGTGCAGACGCCGAAGCAGAAACCACAGCAACTGATGTGTCATCGGTTGCTATAGCGTCTAAGTCTGTATCACCTGGTGATGCAGGTGCTCGTCATGAAGACACTCATGTCTCCACAGAATATGAGCTCGGTGTCTCATACTCTCCTGATATGGAAGAGGGATCCGTATCGAAGGCGGTTGAAACCAAGCCGCCTGCCAAGCGTGGTATGGATGATGCTACGCGTCGTAGCATCTTTGGTTCATCTGACAATCAGATGAACCATCGTCAAAGCGAAGGCGCTCGAGACCGCAAGACTCGGGCGCTCACAGTGGTGTCGGTTCTCCTATTGACACCACTTCGCAGCGAGGTACCAGTACTGCTGTCGGCACGTCGCAAGAAGAGCGGGACTGCAACGTGTTGCGTCTCGCTCCCGAAAAGAAGCATGGCTGCCTCCAAAGTCAGTCATGGATCGCTTGTCGGTGACGACAAGTGATCGCTATCGAACACGATTGTTCGATTCATCAAGGATACATCACCTTGACCCCAGTGCGAAAGACTATCGCACTGATCATGAGTTCTTCATCGATGCTTTCTTAAAGCATCGATGGTACAGTGAGAATCACAAACGTGATGGTCCCTCACTGCTTCAAGCATGGAACGCTTACATCCATAACCTCGAGGATGTAGGTCGTATCGTTTGGAAAGACAAACTTATCAAAGCTCGTGATAAGCTTGAGAAGAGGACCCCGACAGGTGCGCGCTATAAGCTGCATCGTCTGTCTAAGGAAGGTGGGTTACCCTGTCCTTCCTGGGGAGACCCGTGCCCTTGTTGTGTAAACAACTCAGCGCGTGCACCTAAGGAGGCTTACCTCCTTACTAGCCCGTGGTGGCGCGTAAGTATCTCTACTGAGATGTACGAAGGGATTGACAACCTGAAATCCCTTTATGACCGTGCCGGGAAGACTTTCTCCGGAGATCCTTCTGCGGCACAGGATGTGCCGCGTCGTACTGCTCAACCAGACCCAGTACGTCAATCATCAGTTGGGAGCGAGGCTCCCAAGTATCACGGGACGAGGTAACTCGTCCGACGTCCGTTCACATCGCGGTGTTTCAGTAGCCGCTCAATCAGATAGGGCTGGCCACCGCGAGAGTCCTCTAATGGAGGTGGAGGAGGAGGGAAGACGCTCTCCACACGATCATGGGGATCCGTGTGTTCCCGAGAGCTTCTTTGATCGCGTAACGCAAGGGTTACGCGGCGATCTCGAACATGAGCGGGACAGGCATCTCCAACTGGCGGACACTGTCTTGAAGCATCGAGCTGAGTTTTCCTTTGCTCAGATTGGGAACTAAAGAGCTTTGACATCTCTGCGTGACGAGCTAAGGGTAGCTCGTGGGAATGTTGATCGGTCTCGGGCTGAGATAACTGCTCTTTAGACCATTGTTGATATCCACCATCGGGAGCACAAGGCCCTCTGTGAGATGCTTGAACGCAAGGGCGTTCTTTATCGGAAGAAACAGCGTACTGATGGTACGGCTTAAGCCGACCAACGTAAAACGTGGGATGTGTTCGCATCTTACGTGGTCACTCGATCGTGTATGCGTTGACTAGGCGATGCAATACACGAAATGGGCCGATGTACTTGGGTAGAAGTTTACTACTACCCAAGTTAGTCACTACATGCTTTGGTAGATTAACCGTAGACAGTAGGACTAAGTCACCTTTATTAAATAAAAGACTGTTTGCCCTTCCATTCTTGTCTGCGTTTTGCTTTTGCTTATCCACCGCTTCGGCGATGAAGTCTTGCACAAAACGGACTACCGTTTCACGAGCCAGTATGAACTCATCTGATGTCTCGTTAGCTTCAGTGCGCTGTGAGTGCACTGCAGCAACATCAATCTTTTCTTCAGTGAGGGCTTCCGCACTATCACTGGCATCATCTTCTTCGATATCGATGTTGTCAATATCGGCATCAAACGCACTGACCTCATCGTCAGAGCGTGATGAGCGTGAACCAAATTGGTTTTTTCTCGCGCGAGTCCCTCCCCCCCTTAAACCAGAGTTACACTCTAGTAAGGTGGGTACACGCGGATGGCGCAAGCCATTCACGTAAAACGGTGAATGTGTCGTGGACGCATGCACCGAGTTGTTAATGGCAAACTCTACCATTGGCAAAAACTCACTCCAACTCTGAAAGGAGTGTACGTATCCTCGAAGGATCGCTTCAAGGACACGATTGGCTCGTTCCGTCTGACCATCTGACTCTGGATGATCAGATGTCGACATCTTCAAGCGCGTTCCGAGTGATTTGAACACGGAGCGACAGAAATCAGCTGTGAAGCGTGGATCTCTGTCTGATACGAGTTCACGGGGTAACCCATGAAGTCGAAAGATGGTGTCGATAAAGACACAAGCACAGCCACTTGCTGTGATTGACTCTGGTACAGCCACAAGGTGTACCATTTTGCTGAATCTGTCAACAAATACAAGAATACCCGTATTCCCGCGTGTGTCTTTGGGTAACCCGAAGACGAAATCCATTGAGATGGATTCCCAGCACTCTGCCGGAACAGGTAGAGGCTCTAAAGGTGCACGCAGTGAAGGACTTGACTTCACTCGTTGGCAGACTTCGCATGCGCGAACATACTTGCTCACAAACTGATACTGGCGGGGCCAGTAAAAGTCTCGATTCACCGTGAGATACGTTTTCTCCCGGCCACGATGTCCTCTTATAGGAGCATCGTGATACTCGAACATGATTCGCAAACGCAGATTAGTATCATCGGGAATGACAACAGGTGGTGTGTCACCAGTAACTGCTGTATAATACAGTAAACCGTTGCGAGTAGGGTATCGATCTGATGCAGATTGATACGCAGACGAAAATCGTTTCAACGATTCTCGAGATGGTTGTGAGAGATGTGCCAACAACTTCACAATCTCACCATCTTGAGCATACGCCCGCCGCACATCATCATGTAACGTTGAAGATGGTATGGTGGACGTCATAACCGCAACAGTGGCTGTCTCACTGTTGGGTTTCGCGACTGTTTCAAAGTCGGGACGACGTGAGAGTGCATCAGCGACGACATTAAGTCGTCCTGGTTTGTACTCTACGGTAAAGTTGTGTTCTGCAAAGAATGACAACCACCGCGCCATTCGTTGTGAAAGGTGCGGGCTGTTTACTGCCGTGCGTAACGACGCATGGTCAGTGTAAACACTGAAGGGTCTATCTCCTAATAGATAGACTCTGAACTTCGCGAGTGCATACTTCATGCCAAGGAGTTCCTTGTCATGCACTGGATAGTTCCGCTCAGCTGGTTGCAGCTGACGCGACTGATAGCAGACGACGCGTTCAACGCCTTCAAGATCGTACTGCATTAATGCACAGCCGATTGCAAAATCGCTGGCATCACAGACCACATGAAATGGCCTGTCCTGATCGGATTGCTAGGACTGGGGATTGTATCAAGCTCTGCTTGATACCATCAAAGGAGCGCTGACATTCAGCGTTCCATAACCACATCTCGTTCTTTCTCAACAAACGAGAGAGGTGTACAGTCATCTCGGCGTAATTGCGTGAATACTTGTGCAAATACGCCGCTAGCCCAAGGAATTTTCGAAGACCTTTGACATCAACCGGCACAGGCCAGTAGGTGATCGCCTTGATCTTTTCGGGATCAGGACGTACACCGTTCTTACCAACGATGCACCCAAGAAGTGGTATTCGCTTGCTGTAAATATACACTTCTTGAGGTTTGCATACAATTGATGCTTTCGCATGATTGTAAGAACCTGTCGGACGTGGTACCTGTGAACCTCAACATCCGACTTTCCATCCATAGCCCGACTATGAATGAATACGTCACATGGCCCGCAGCTAAACGATCGGCAAAGAACTTGTCGATCGCAAGTACTTGTTCACGAGGCAGTGGCCACTGCTTCATGATACAGTACTTCGAGCCTGGTTCAAGCTCGACCTCGTGCCGAGTACCTTTATCCTTCGGTAACTCGCACGGAACAGTTTCAGGGAATACATCCTTAAATTCAACCAAATCTTCATATAGAGGATTTGTCTTGAGCGATTCCCACGATTGGGAGTCATATCGCTCAACTCGTGTCTTTTCATCGAGGACACTCTCGTCCATTGATGAACTACTGAGAACTCTCTCGTTCTCAGTAAACATGTTGCTGACCTTATGTCGGCTACACACTCGTCGTCAGCGACGAGTACGCAGATCTGCTTGACTTTGCCACTACGCAGATCACGCAAGAACCTTTTATGTTCGATCGTTGGTAACTGAGTGATCTCCGAAGTCAACTTCGGAGGCGCAATTAGATCAAGTGTATAAGCGCCTACGCTTGATTCGTTATTGACTAGTTCATTAAATGTCTCTGTCATTTCCTGGGGACTTATTCCCTCAGGCTTCGAAGGACTTATTCCTTCGGCTTCCCGGGGACTTATTCCCCCGGGTTTCGGGGAACTTATTTCCGCCGTATCTGTAATATCGGGACTTATTCCCTTTACTCCCTCTAGCTGTGGTTGCGCAACCACAGCGAGATCCTCTACGAAAGACTCTCCAGTCGATCTAGGATTATCGTTTCGCTTAACCTGAGCGATCGATCGTTTCTCTTCTTGATGTTCCCCGCTAGGGATACATCTCTGTCCCGGTCCACTCGACTTATTCGAGTGGTGGACCTTCGGCGCAGCCTGTGTTTCCTCACAGCCGCCGGAATCTAGCTCCGAAGTGTAACCGTTTGGTACACTAAGGTTTTGTGCAGTCGTACTAACGACCGTACCACAAGTGAGGCCATCGCACTCACCCGTAGTACATCCACACGCTTGTGGACGCTCCAAAACGTTCATCAGATGGCCATCTGATGAACAAGCGGCAGGCATCGTTACTGTTCGATGTTGCCAGTTTACCCGTGGTTCGTACCTTCTGAGCCACGGTATTCCAAGGATGACATCAAATTTGTCATCCAAATCCAATGCGATAAAGTCATCGTCATATTGGGTATCTTCTAGCGTATAGTGGATCTTCACTGTACGCTTCATGACGGTTACGGATGCGCCTGTCGCAAGACGTACCGTCATCCTCGTAGGAGGTGTGTCACATTCACTGAATTTAAAGTGACCATCTTCTAGCGATTGGCGTCGCACAAAATTGTTGGACGCCCCACAATCGACTAGAGCTCGAAGGGACAACTTATTCGTCACTTCGAGTTTCAAGGTAATGAGTGAGATCTCATTACCTAGAGCAGCAACGCACAACGTTTGTGTGAGAATTCGCCATTGGTGACACGCGCACCCCCCCATTCGGAGGATACCATCATCACATACTTGCTCGGTGTGCAGCAACAGATATTCCTTTAACAAGGAGAAAGCACTCGGTGCCATGTCCAAAGCTCGCAAGCCTCGAGAACCACCGTGACAATGTGTGCACTTCATCCATTGTGGATCAACGCTGGCGTCAAGCGGCCGGTCAATCGTTGGCAACGTGGATCATTAGACATAGGACTAAGTCTCCTGAGGAGGTGGCGAGCGTTAAGGCACTACGCAAGAGGCACCTGGATCCTCACCTTAACAACCCAAGGTTGATACAAGGCACGCCTTGATATGCAAGCACGTAGTGCACCGGTCCCACCAATAAAATGTGTGCCCGTTATCTTGTCTGCAGGTAAAACAAAGACTTAAGAAGATATTGCCTTCGGTCGCTAAGTGCAACGCATATGTCGTCTCAGCAGTATGTCTGCTCTGAGAGCTAGTGCCAATGTGACTGATGTGTGTCTCGAACGCAGCTTCGGTATGACTATGCCAAGCATAAGGCCAGAAGCCAATTGCGTAATCCTACGCAAAATGATTCGGCTACTACGGTAGCCGCGAGTGTTAGTCAATCGATGACGACCAACCCGCCAACCCACACCACTAGTGGTGGTAAACGGCCTCGGTCTCAAGATGACCTTGTTCACGATGTTCAAAAACATCTTAAGTATAAGGGCAATCTTGTCATAGGGGTACCTCGCATTCCAAGAGTTTTCAGACTCAGGGTACGCACGCCACTCTACCAGATACTCGTAGCGGCCATGACGACGAAGTCGTTTCAGTAGGCTCTTGACATGAAATTGACGACAATCATGCTCATCGAGCAGTGTCGGTGGCGGCCGGTGTATCGGTGGCAGTCCAAGGGAAATTGGCTCTCGAAGCGAAGGGTCTTCAAGAGACCTTGAGGAAGACCCAATGCATGCTGGATGCGATGCAAAGCTGCCTTCAGGCGATGGAGGATGCTCAAAATCGGAGCGAGGCTCAGTTGGACTTGCTTATTCGCTTGCAGAAATCCAGGGCAAGCCC